ATGAAAGCTGAACGGGATCCTCTTATTCGGGATTTCTGTGTGGCTCCCTCCCTCGAGTCTTTCATTCAGGCCTGTGCTCAGACGTTGCATCCTGCATACAATGGCACCTGGCCATTTCAACAAAAATCTGCAAGAAACAAAAACGAAGAAAGGAAATGGGTACGAACCTAAAGACTGAAAGAGATTTGTTTGAATCTGAATTTAAGTAAGGTTCAGAGTATGTAAAAATATTTGCGACAATGGAGAGGTACGAACACTGATGGGCTGTGAGAGCATATGAAGGAATCCTGTTTTTTTTTTTTTAAGTGTGATAATGGCATTGAGGTTATGTTTTGTAGAAAAGAAAAAAGTCTCTCTCTCTCTTTTTTTTTTTTGAGATGGAGTTTTGCTTTTGTTGCTCAGGCTGAATGGAGTGCTGTGGCATGATCTCGGCTCACAGCAACCTCCGCCTTCCAGGTTCAAGTGATTTTCCTGCCTCAGCCTCCCGGGATTACAGACATGTGCCACCACGCCCAGCTAATTTTGTAGTTTTAGTAGACTCAGGGTTTCTCCATGTTGGTCAAGCTGGTCTCTAACTCTTGACCTCAGGTGATCCTCCCACCTCGGTCTCCCAAAGAGCTGGGATGACAGGCGTGAGCCACTGTGCCCAGCCTAAAAGTCTCTATCTTTTAGAGTTAAAATAAATGACGCCTCTCCATCTTCACACTCTATCTTGCTTAACTTGTGAGGGGAGGGAAGACTTCTTTCCTCACCCATTGCTAGGTTTATGGCTGAGATCTCTATAATAAAAGAAGATTCATAAGAGAAAAGCATAGACATTTATTTAATATAGTTTACATGACCTAAGAGTCTCTAGAAGTGAAAGACCACAAAAAACAACAGTGGGAAAATCTGTATTTTTATGCTAAGTGTGAAGTGGTGGACAGTCCTAGAGAAGTCTGATTGGACAGAGGTGGTGTGATGTAGTGATAATCTCGGGGCTTGTTTGTTCAGATTCTTCGCTGGGTCCCTGTGTCATAGACTTTCCTTTCCTCTGTTTATGAGGTGGGCACTGCCCACATGGTTAGCATTCCACTGTATTCCAGTGAGGCTCTTATGACTGACTTCAGCAGAAGGTCAGAGGATTCTGTGATGTTTGATGGTGTGCTTCAGGGGAGATGGGTGGGGGTCAGAGAGACCTTCCTGCTTCTGTGGTATTCTCAAATGCCAAGATGCTCTATTTTGGGGTAGCATGTCCTAAACCCCGGCACCTGCCTAATGTTACTTACTAGCTCTCATTTCTCCCTGACACGTTTCCTTTTTGCTTTCTTGCATGGAAGTTTCGTAAAGGCAAGACCTTCATCTTATTCACAGCAGTTGATTCTATTGCCTTGTACGGCACCTGACACATAGGAGGTGCTCAATAAATATGTGTCAAATGGATGCATGAAGTGTTTGAGCAAGGTTCCCCTGCGAGTAAAATGTCCAAGAATTGAGAAACAGAAGGAAACCGTGAAGCCCGGGGGCATGGTGTCTCAAATCAGGTTGCTGTTTTTTCACAGGGCAAAGAGCTGGCTGTGAGAGGCAGCTTTGTTAGAACTATTTATGAAACTCTCACTTGTGCCTGATTGGGGTGAGACAAAAATCAACCTCCCTAAAGGACCCCCAGCTTGAGTGTGGCTGCTGCGGTTATAGCTGTGGTCCACGGGAACCCTATGACAGGGGCATGGGCTGCCACAGTTGAAGATGCACCTGTCATTGTTTAATTAAATCATCTTCGGCATGTCCCTTAACCTCTCTGAGCCTCAGTTTCACCTATGGTAAAGGAGGTCGATCATACATCCACCCACAGGATTTCTGAGAGAAGCAAAGGACCAGCTGGTCCCAAGGAACTGCATTTGATAGTCCCCCTCCTCCCCCCACCGTACCCCTTCCCCAGGTGATTCTCAAGCTGGTGTCCCTGGGACCACCCTTGGAGAAACCCCACTGATCGGAATCACTTGAAACACAGAAGAAAAGATTCTAAAGTTGTGCCTAAATCAAAAATTGCTAACAAACTACCTTTGGAAAATTATCTGGGAAGGGACCTCCCTGGAGAGGATGACCATCTCTCCATGAGGTCAACACAGACAGTGTTTCCTTCAGAGCTGGAACAGACCACGGTCCTTTCCCTGGGCCCCAGATGAACGGGGTAACAGGAGGCTCACCCCCACACCGTCCCTTATGGGAGGACACTGTCACTGAGCAGGGCTCGGAGAAACTGGGATCCAGTGGTTGGCACAGCTAGGTTCTGAACGTGGGCCATCGCCCTAGAGCCAGGGTCCTAACCCCTGTGCAGTGTGGATGTTCAGGAGGACCTCCATGGACCAGCAGTGCTTGGGTTAAAACAGCATTAGGGCTATGTCTGGGCGTGGTGAGCACACGGAGGTGAATAGGAGAGGAGTGAGGTGTGCAGCGCAGCAGAGATAACCACTGAAACCACAGTGAGAGAGGCGTGGGCCTTCGCCAGGCTTCAGTGGCCTCTGGTCCCATGGGCAAGACTAGGCTTTAACTAAAAATTGGCTCAGTCACCGGTCCTTGACCCACGGTGCTCACAAATCAGAGAGGCTGGCTGCCTTGTTTCCTCCGTTTGTTTTTCTTTTTCTTCTTGGTTATAGGCATTGCACGGTGTTGGTATAGCTCAGAAGGAGACCCCAGGACAAGGAAAAGGTCTGCACGATCCCCAACTGACCATCAACAGGGACCTGCCTTGGGTCAGAAAGGACCTGCCCAGACACATCCGCACGTCCTCCGAGGCCGGGGAAGAGCAGGCAGGATTGCTGGCTTCCCTCCAGACTCTGCAACCACTTCCCCTCCTCCCTCTCTCCTGCTATTAAATTTAGGTCTCTTTCCGGAATGTTCTAAGCCTTTTTAAAGGCAGCAACACACTCTGTTCCTGCGTTGGCTGTTAGCTCTGAGAAACTGGGAATGAATTGCCAAATAACTGCCGATGGCTTTGAGCCTGCACTCTGGGCTCAGCATCCTCCGAGGCCCACCCCTGGCATGCGTCATTGCTCCTCGGAAGGACTTCTCCCTCCTAAGACCCCTGAGCTGCTCCAGGTGTGGCTATAAAAGCTGGCCTCAGCATGGCTCCTGTCTCTACCCACCTCCTGATCACCCTGCTCCTCACCCCACAGTCCTCTCCCTGATGCCAGCTCATTCATTCCATCAGTCTCTGTCGCAGACCCCGACAGGCTCTGCCTGGGCAGGCTGATCCCACCCTAATGGTTTCTGACAACTGCTGGCTTTGCCTGAGGGTTCTCTCTGGCTGCCCCAGTCAGCCCAGCCTCTGGTACAAGCCAGGCCAGAAGTTCCAGGGTGATACCTGCTCCAGCCGCGCCTGGTGGACACACACCCCAGCTACTATGTCCCTCCATGGGGATCACTAAGGTGTGTTTCACTCCCCACACTGCAGACCCCAGTTCCCCACAGACACACCCTGGAGGGCTTTTCTCCCTTCCCTGTCTCACTTCCCCTCTGTTATTGGGTCACCTAACAACTTGTACTGACATCTGTGCCAGTGGGAACTCAACCTTGGGAGCGCCTTTCAGAGGCTTAACACATACTCATGGTCAGCCGGGTAACTAACCTCTTGTGCCTCTCTTAGGCAAAAGAGGTGTGACTGCGAACAGACAGACCCGACCCCAGACATCCCAGACGTCAGCCTCGCAGACACAAGGGCGTTGAAGTACTATTACCAAATTCGCAATTTGCTTTTAAAAGATTTGAGTTCCTACTGTGGGCCAAGCAGCGTGCCAGGCTCTGGTGATGTGGGGTTGGGCAAATTAGACAAGGACTTCCCTTACTGGGCCATACATGCTGATGGAACCATCCAGTAACTAAGAAAGGAAATGTCAATCGTAAGCATTATGCAGAGTGTAATGTGTTACTTTAGGTGCTTAGGGAAAGTCATGTTTAGGCTGAGCTATGAATACAAAGGAGCCAAGTGGAAAAAGATAAGACAGATGGGCCGGGCTTGGTGACTCATGCCTGTAATTCCAGCACTTTGGGAGGTTGAGGTGGGTGAGCTGCTTGAGCCCAGATGTTTGAGATCAGCCTGATAATGTGGTGAGACACTGTCTCTATAGAAAATGTAAAAATGAGCCAGGAATGATGGTCCCAGTTACTCAGGAGGCTGAGGTGGGAGGATCATAACCCCAAGAGGTTGAGGCTGCAGTGAGCCATGATTGCACCACTGCAATCCAGCCTGGGCAACAGAACAAGATACTGTCAAAAAAAAAAAAAAAAAGGAAAAAGGAGACCACAGATAGAGGGAGCAAAAGCATGAAAGTGAAGCTTTCTCAGAGTGCTATGAATGGAGTGGTTTTCTGGAAGCTGGGCAGTGACTAAGGGCAGTGCCTGGTACAGAGTGTAGGCTTCGCCAAGAGAGCCAACCTGGTCTTGGGATTAGGGCAGAATTCTCTGCAGAAGGAAGGAGACATAAATGTGAAGAATCAGAAGGAGTAACTGAGGACTAGGAAGAGAAAGAGACTTTCAGGCAGAGAGAACAGCATATGTAAAGGCCCTGAGGCTAGAGACCGCCCAGTCCATTTTGACTGGCTAAATAGGAATGAAGGGGTAGAGGGCTCAAGATAAGGCTGGAGGGGTAGGGCAATTAATATTATTGTTCAGCAAATGTTCACTCTTCTTCCTGCCCATTTAGGGAAGAGGATACTTCCCCTGCCCCACTGACTTGAGGCTTGTCCTTGACTTGCTTGAGTCAATAGAATATGAGCAACTACAACAAAAGCAGAGGCTTGAAGTATGCAGTTGAACTTGGTCTCTGGCATTCCCACCGTCACTGTGAAAAGAGTGGTTATATTCTGGTTAGCAAGTGAAGCAGACTGAGGTTGATCCTCAGCCTGGACCTAACTGAACCATATAGTCAGTGGAAAAAATCAGTAGTTATTTTAAGCCACCAAATGTTGAGGTTGTTACACAGCATTGTTTTGGTAATAACTGACTAATACAAATGGGTGGGGAACCGATCCTGCAGGGAGGCCACTAAAAAGTTATGCAGGAAGCTCTTGCTTCCAACTCAGGTTGGTCAGCTGGGTTGGGACGTTACTTCTATGCAGTTGTCCTGCAAAGATGATGTAGTGCAGATCAATGAATGATTTATGGGAAGCTGAAAAGTTACCTTTTGGACGATACCAAGGATCCAGGCTGCTGAGAATAAGCCTTCATATGACACAAATCCTAAGCTTGGCCTTCCTCATCAGGCCCAGGTAAAAGGACCATCTGTGTGCAGGGCATAGGATGTTTAGTGTGAAGTTGGGTCAGGCTGTTGTTTCCAAGGTGAACTCCTTGTGGGTAAAGATTTAACTGTGGACAGAGTGCAGGTAAATATGCTGACAGACATGAGAGAAAATGGAAGCAAGCAAACTCAGGGAATAAAATGTTATACCTTTCAGAGTGACAGTGGATGGCTGACCACTATTTCCTCTCCTCCCAAAGGGCTGCTGTCTCTTGAAATGCAAACTCCCAGCAGTATTGGTGGTTCTGGAATGGGAGCATCTGTTCTCCAAGGGAATTACAGGGCAGAGCAGGAATCTTCAGTGTGGGGAGGAGTACAGACATGATCAGATGGGTCACTGTCTGGGGTAAGCCATTGAAGAAGACTGCATGAGCAAAGCCAGCCTTGATCTGGGTTGGCAGCTGGGTGGTGGTGGGGGAGAGAGTGCTATGGACTCAAAAGCCAGGGCTCCTATGAGGACATTTCAGGAGAAGTCACAGCCTTCCGTCGTCAGTTCTTGGAATAACTAGATTTCCTTCCTCATCTTATAAAAATGCTTCTAGAATCAACTGATAGCAATTGAAACAGTAGAAGCATCCAGTTTTTGTTAAAATCCTGCTTTCATTACAGCCACGTGGGATGGATCTAGAACTGATTTATGGAGCTTGGGGATTCTGTGAAGTCATACTTGGCCTTCACAGCAGGAGAGAGGGAAAGAGAGAGGGGGAAGCAGACAGGGGATGTAACCTCTCTACTTGGGATGAAAAAGCTCCTTCTCTCTCCAACATACACAGGCACAGAAGTCCTCCCAGGGGAGGTATTGTGGCCTGACTCTCACTTTGCGAAGATTCTTCTCCTGCTGCCATTTAGGACCAGAGCATGTTTTATCTCCAAAGACTGGGCCCCTGTTTTCTGCCTCCAGCACAACCCTCTTGGACTCACCTTCTTAACCTGAGTATAACACCATTCGCTGTCTTGATGGTAGAACTAGGGAGCCCTTGCACAGATGCTCAATGGCACAGGTAAATGAAATGGTCTCATATACTCAGCTTGGCAGAGGCTCAGAGCATTAGCCAATTACTTCTCCCTTCATTCACGCAACACGTATTTATCCATTATCTACTATGTGTCACTCACTGGAGCTACAGAAGTGAAGGCACAGTCTGACTGGTGAGAACAATGCTCCGAACACTTTCGATGCCATAGCACATACTGAAAAGGATCATTTTATAGGACGTAACTCTAAGCTGCATGGTAGCTTTGCAGAGTTTCTCTTTTCTCTACCTTCTTCTGTTACCCTTGGTTTGTGAGGACCATATCCCCAAAGGAGGAGGTGGGGGCTGTTAATATGCCAAAATCTATACAGGTGGTGAATGTTAATATTGAAAAATTCAAAATAATCAGAATGTCCATCTTCACATAAGCAGCTCCTGAGACAAAGATTCAAGAGCAGTTGTTATTGGGGTGGGGTGGGGTGGGGTGGGTGTGTAGACAGCCCCAGGAGGGAAAGAAAAAGTGATATGGAGAAGAGCAGGCAACCACTCAAGGCAGGTTATTAAGCCAAGTACTGCTGTGGGCATGGAGCTTGTTCCCATGGAGAAAGCTCTGGGATGCAGTGTACAGCACACACCTGAGTTGTCCCACCCAATGGCTAAGGGAGCTGAAGAATTTATACGCCAATTTCCCCTTGGTCATTGGTCAAGAGCTGTTCCTGGCAGGTGTTAATTCTATGGCAGTTTCCCCTGCTGAAGTGATAGACAGCCTCACATTCCACAGATCTGAGACAAGACTTTCCACTCAGAAATGCAGAGTGGGCAGTGGAATTTGGCTGGAGTACACAGAAATATTAGAGACATGGGTAGGGTGTGAACAGATCCTGCTAGATGCATCCATGGCAGGGGGGTTAGTAAAATATCTGATAACACATTCTTCAAGCCCAGGATGATGTGGATCTATATTCATTGGCATAGAAGTGCTCAACTACACATTATTGAGTGAATGAAAGCAGCATAGAGAATATCCAGTAGAGTTAGACCATTTAAATGGCTTATTTTTCTGTGTGTGTGAATGTGTCCCACACACTTGAAGGCAAGGCTGGGACCAGGGTGAAGAAGCAAGGCTCTTGCTTTGGGGTGAAGCCTAAGGAAATGTCAGAAAGTCAGTCATCAAGATAAATATTTCGATACAACATTTAAAAATCATCAACATTAACGTAAAAATTCCACGATGAACAAGGTCAGGATCTGACCTTGTATTTGCACAACTCAGCCTCATTTACTTCATCCTAATCCCAGCCCCGCTGGATCCTGTCTCCTTAAAATTTTGACCACCTGAGACAGAGAGAGAGAATTGGAGAGAAACTGGTTTCTTTCTTCTAGCCCTCCAACTTCTTGTTAGTGCCTCCCTTGGCCAGTTCCAACCACAGCTGACATTAAGAGCCTTAAAATATCCACCTACAGGGGACCGCCTCCCCTCTCCTCCTTCTCCCTGTTCTGTCTCTTCTCTCACCCTCCACCCCCAGCACAGAGCAGAGCAGCTAAAGGGCAAGGACCACATGGTTCCCTGGGGAACCTACAATAATTTGCAGGAGAAAAGAATTGGTTCCAGAGCAGACCAACAAAAGCCCGAACAACGGAGACATTGTCTTCCAGGCGAAGGTCAGCAGTGGCCAGTTAACTGCACATGCTATTTCACAGTCCTCTGGGGTGACAACCTTGGGTCAGGCTGACCTGGAGAGAGAGCAAAGAGCCAAACGTCAAGTAATCAAAGACAGCTTGTTGAAACCAAGTCATCTTGACTCCTATCTCCCAGACAATAGGCCACGGCCAAGAGCTTTCCTACCCCTGCCTCCTCTGGGAATCTGTGTTTTGTGGGCTTGTGCAGCCATCCCCTTCCCAAGTTGGCTGATTTTCAGTTAATCAGGGATCAGGACCTGGTTTATGTTTCCTCCCTCTGGTAGCTTCCACTTTCCTCACTCTGGCAGCTCTTACACATGTGGAAAGATGGAGAAAAGTGAGTTCTGGCTGGTTTTTGCAGGGCAGCAATCAGAGAGACCAATGCAGCTTGGTTAGGAGCAGCAAAAACTGAAAGGCCTTGCCTTCGAAGATTCCATTGACTCTAAGCAGCTTTTTTTTTTTTAAATGTTGGCTCACACCAGTGTGAAGAAAATCTTGTTTCTGTCTCGACTGAGTCATTTGGCCAAAGCATTAATTTCACAGCCAGCATTCACACTGACGCACACGACCTTTAGTTTCCTTCCGTAAAGATTTAACACACAATGACTTGTTTTCAGGTCCCAGGCCACTGGCAATGTTGGGCTTTCTTTGTCTTGTCACAGTAGCTTTCGTTCCCTTCCACCTGATGTGCGTGTGATGAACACGAGAGGCTGTTGCAGAGGCAGAAAGGTTGAGAAAGGAGGGGCAGTTTTGCAGTATTCTACAATGAGTATCAGCACCTCATTAAAAACAGAACCAATCAGAGAAATGCATTGTTCCCTGGATCCAGTAGTCCAGTGGGGTAGAGGAAGAGGGAGGCTTTGACCTATACATCTTCGTCGCACTTTGGCCGGGCACACTGGTGCCCACGGGATACCTGGCTGCACCACCTACCTATGCTGGACATTTTTGGACAAATGACTTAATCTCTCTGAGACTCAGTTTTTTCAACCACAAAATGAAACATAGCCAGACCTGCCGCATAGTATTGTTGTGGTGACGGAATAAGATCATGCCCTTGGTCACGGTGTTACACAAAAAGTAAGAGCCCTATACATGCCGTCTATTACTATTCATGGAAAAGGCCAGTCCAGAAACTTCGTAGTAAATGTCTGTTCCATTTTCTCCAGGGCTTCTTCAACAAACCCATAATTCTGGGTCTTGGTAAAACTTGCAGTAAATCTTTATAAGGTTGACATATACATTGCATGTCAAAACCCAAGAAGGATGGAAGGCCAGCCGAAGATGAAAAATCCTTCATCTGAAATCCCGGCCCACACCTGTAATCCTAGCACTTTGGAAGGCCAAGGAGGGCAGATCACTTGAGGTCAGGAGTTGGAGACCAGCCTGGCCAACATGATGAAACCCTGTCTCTACCAAAAATAGAAAAATCAGCTGGGTGCAGTGGTGCATGCCTGTAGTCCCAGCTACCCAGGATGCTGAGGCATGAGAATTGCTTGAACCTGGGAAGTGGAGATTGCAGTGAGCCAAAAGATCATGTCACTGCACCCCAGCCTGGGCAACAGAGTGAGACTGTGTCTCAAAAAAAAAAAAAAAAAAAAAGAAAAGAAAAGAAATCCCAGCCCACTTTGTCACTCTTAGCTTGGTTCATTCTTCTTTCTCTGCCCTGACCTTGACCTACCCGCTTTATGAAACCTTTCCACAAATGAAAGCACATAGTTGGTGTTGAATAATTGGCATCTATTGTCTTTGGATGCAGATTCTGAAACCAAGCTGTGAAGGTCAGTACTTTATTTGGGAGATGAACCAGGAAGTACTGATAGGGTAAAGGGGAGGTGAGGAAGGGAAGGAAAGGCAGTCCATCAGAGTATGTCATGAGCAAGTCACTGCTGTGGACAACTGGAGTCATCCCACTACTAGTAACTTCGGGGAGACATTGTGGAGTGCACCCCTGAGTTGTTTTACCCAAGTGGAGAGGAAGCTAGGGATTTAGCCACCAACTCCCATCAATCATGGGCTGCTAGCTACTCCCAGGGGCATGTATTCTGTGCAGAGTTGATGGTGGCCAGAGTGGAAGGCAGCAGTGGCAGAAAGGAAGCAAGCAGATATGAGCTGGTCCCCAGAAGACATGGACAGGGCACTGGCAGCTTTGGCTACACCATCCTCAGATTGCTTAAGGTTAGCTAGTCAATTGCATTTGACTGAGGAAATGTATTGCTTCATTGGTGCCAAGTGTGATGGGATTGTGTCACTGTAGTGCCCGAGGACTGTGGATCTTGATCTCAGAGGCAGTGTGATTTCCAGCCATGTGGGCCCAGATCCTGCTAAAAAATCTGCCTCCAGTGGATTGTCTTTTCTAGAAGGCAGCCACAGAGACAGAGTTCCAGTGGTCATTCTTTCTTTAAGAGATCTGCAAAATGAGCCAACATCTGGTGCCTCGGGTTTCTATGTGATAAGCATTCAGCAGAGACCAGAAATTAGTCCTCTTAAGAGGTCACCAGACCACAGGTGTTGGTCAAGGTGACCTGGCAGGGCAGGGCTGACAACTAAGGTAAGTGGTGAGGCAAAGTCTGCTGACCTGAGGGCACCATGACAGTAGCCTCCAAGACCATGTTCCAGGCCTTTCTGTGTCTCTTGGTTCCAACTTAATAGCCAGCATTTATGGAACTGATTCTACATGTGAGGCACTAAGACCATATGTATTATGTCAAGAGATGAATGGTGTTAGTCCTGCTTTATAGATGAAGAAATTATAGGCACAGAGAAATCAAGTATCTTGCCGAGGTCATAGAATCAATAAATGACAATACAGTTAAACCTAGGTCTCTCCAGCTTCCGAAGCCACAGTTTTAGCCAGTATGCTATATTGTATTTATTGTACAAGTTTTCCTTGTTAACCCTGAGGGATTATGACCAGTAGTATGGAGTAAACTGGCTCCCTGAGGATAGGGTGGGGGATGGGAACAGCTGTGATTTGGAGCATCTGCCAATTTCTGCGGTGTAAATATTCCCACCATGGCCAATTTCAAGCTCCTAAGCATCGAACGAGTGGCTTACAAAATTCCAGAATGTGGAACAATTGGTTTTCACAAGCCAGCTGGAACCAGCTCCAGCATTCCACTGGTGATACCACCCTCCCAGAGGTCTTCATTATCAAGGTTTTTAGAGAATATGTTGAAATAGTTTCTTTCTTAGCCATTCTGTTCCTTAAATCTTGCCCTAGAACTCCAGGATGACAAATGAGATCCTTGTATCATTCATTCAACAAACATGAAGTGTCTACAATATATGAGGGGTGATGCCTAGTAGAGAGACACAGCTCCAAACTGTCTTAGGTCTAGTTTCCCAGGAGCAGACCTAGTGGCAAAGATATGCATGCTGTATAAGGAAGTGTTGCAGGGAAAAACACAGGGTGGTGGGGTAGTCAGATGAGAAGGGGAAGGGAGCAAGCAGGGTATGGAGCAGACAGGGGTATGGTGGCAAGCCAAGTCCCATGAAGCAGTGATCCCCAACCTTTTAGGCACCAAGGACCGGTTTCATGGAAGACAGTTTTTCCATGGACCAGGAGGGCTGGGGGATGATTTTGGAATGATTCATGCACATTATGTCTATTGTGTACTTTATTTCTATTATTATTACATTGTAATATTTAAAGAAATAATTATACAACTCACCATAATATAGATTAGTGGGAGCCCTGAGCTTGTTTTCTTGCAATTAGACAGTCCCGTCTGGCGGTGATGGGAGACAGTGGCAGATCATCAGGCATTAGATTGTCATAAGGAGCAGGCAACCTAGATTCCTTGCATGTGCAGTTCACAATAGGGTTCACGCTCCTGTGAGAAGCTAATGCTGCTGCTGATCTGACAGGAGGCGGAGCTCAGGTGGTCATGTGAGTGATGAGGAGTGGCTGTAAACACAGATGAAACTTCACTCTCTCACCATCTGCCTGACCTCTTGTGCAGCCTGGTTTCTAACAAGCCACAGACAGGTACTGGTCCATGGCCTGGGGGTTGGAGACCCCTGCTGTGAAGGGTACCTTAGACTCACTCTTGTATGGGAGCTTTGGCAAGAGTGGGGTGCATTTGGGGTGTCCTAATGAGGGGTGATATGAAGTATTTCTACTTGCAGTTCTCACCACGTCGTTGGTTAACGGCTGTCCCCAGAGGGACACATATTTTCAGGTACTGCCAGCACCTGACTGGTGCAGCAAGTCTCCAGCTGTCTGAGGGCAGCCCCTAATGAAGAAACGCAGGGACAGACTCATAGGAGATAGAGCACCTCAGGAGCTGTTATGCACAAAAACGGTGGAGGGCTTAGGTGCAGCATTCTGAGAGTGTCTACTTCACACTCATTCACTCAACCAGCATTTACGAGAGCTACAGTGCACTGGGTAATGTCTTAGGATCAGAGGACACAGGGATGAATGCAGACAGCTGGGTTCCCTGTTATCAAGGAGCAGATGGTCTAGTTGGGGAGCAGGGTCTGACAATCCACATGACAAACAGATCATTACCTATTGGGATATATAACTACAGGAAAACTATGGGGTCATGAAAGAGTAGATAAGAAGACAGAAGGTGGATTGAGGTGGGTTAGAGAAGGCACTCTTCCCAGTTTGGCAGGGACCCAAACTGAGACCCTGGTATTCACTGAGAGTCTCAAAAGAGTGTGCAGGTGAACAGCTAGTCTTCTTTTGTCTTTGAGTTTTTTTTTGGGGGGTGAGGCGGGTACTAGACGCCCTGTGCAAAAAACGAAACAGGTACACCAAGACCACAGATTACTTACGGTGAGAAAGATTCATGGCTACATAAATCACCTACCAAATTTCTGTTGCAATTTTTCCTAAGCAAAGCCCTTTATATCACTCTAGTCCTTAAAATCTACTCAAGGTATGTTTATTCACAGCAATCTTTGGACTTTCATGCTTTTGGTTACTATAAAACTTGCAACCTCTAGAGTCGGAATGTTTGAGTTCAAAACTGGCTAGATCACCTAAGTAGCTGTGTGTCCTTGGGCAAGCAGTTTAACCTCTCTGTGCCTCGGTTTCTTCA